AACTTGATACCGTGTGTGAAATAATTCTCTATTTATTATGTTAATTCGTATGTCGTATATGGAATAATTTTATGATATCTGACAACCTCATCTCATAAATAATTGTACAGGCTAGACTTCGCGGTTGCGAACATGAGAAAATTAAATAAGGCGGTAAGAATATTATAGTCGGACAAGGCGGACCATAGACACGCTATATCACTTTGTTCTTTTTTCGTACTAATTCACCAAAAGGTATAAATTATTTTTGGTGTGAAGACATAAGTTTCATGAGACCCAACATATTAAAGAATGCTCCCAGCAGCAAAACGTTATTATGAAGCAATTCTCGTCATGAAATACACAAAGGTGATATTTTTTTCCATATAAGGATTCAGGTTTCGTAGAGTCGGTTATAAGGTAAGGAGCTGAAAAAGTTAACCCCAATCCAACCCAAATCCTTCAAATGAATTTAGAATCCTCAAGTATTTGTACTTTTCACGTTTCTCATACAACGAGGAGATGCTATTTTAAAAGTGTTCGGAAGGTGATCCGATGCGAACAGTTATAAGGTAAGGGGCTCAAAAAGTTAACCCCAATCCAATCCAAATCCTTCAAATGAATTTAGAACCCTCAAGTATTTGTACTTTTCACCTTTCTCATGCATCGAACAGATGTTATATTAGAAGTGTTCAGAAGGTGATCCGATGCGAACAATTGCCGTTAGTGTTCGTACTTGCGCGAAGAGAGGCCATTGTACTAAATTTTTCGCCCTCTAGATAAAATACAAAAAAAACAAAATGGATAGATGGACAGACGGACAGACATGGTTTGCTCAATGCAGGAAGTGATTCTGAACCGCAAAGTGTAACAAAACTCTTCTGCATGTTGCATTCATCAGCGCTAAATTAATATATCGTTGCAGCGCGTGTGGTCCAAAGTATAAAAACTTGATTGAAAGTTTGTTCCAAGTTCTAAGTTCGTATATCGGTCAATCAATTTATGAGAGACGTTTAACGAATCCATCAATGTACCTTACACATTATTACGGTTTGTGTGAATGCATAACAAACATCGTTTTATAACTCACTTGTGGGCAAGTGCCGTTTGATGTGAAATGATTGCAATCTTTAAATAGACAAAAGAATTATTTTAATAGGTGTGGGACAAATTTATATAAAAACTTGACTACTTTCAGATAACGCACAAACATTTTCAATCCTCCAATAAACAATATGTTGTTTTAATAAAGTCCAAATCTGCGTCAATTAAAAGTTAACTACCAGCATCCTATACAACATTTTTTGGCAAAACCCTACTGCTATGCTATGCTATTTAGTAAAGATTTAGCTCGAACGCATTCTACCTATCGTTAATAAGGAAGATATTTTACACACAGGCTTACGTGATTCCTCAAACATCGATTATAGATAGATGACAGAATTAATTGACCGTAATTCTCCGATAACAGATATAAAAAATTCGTTGAATTTTTAAAAGATTAACAAATTGAAAAACTTGACAGCTCTATTTAGAAATAATCATTCAAAGTCATAAATACTATCTTGGCAAAAGTCATTGTGACAGCTTGAATTGTTCAGTATACTACATAGTGTATCAGATAAATATTAAAGATTTATGAAGCGACTACTAGTTTATAAATATCGTATAACATCAACGTTATACGTTTGAATTGATTTAAAGTTTTTCGAACTTTTCATTAATTAAATGCTTTAATTAAATGTTTATGATTATGAAATTCAAGCACGTTCAACAGCACACAGGAAGTAAACACGTAGTAAAATATACGTCAGTAAACTTTATATATGCATGCATTTGAATTTCATATACGAGAATAAACGTTTAGTTTAACTTAAAACAACGTATTAAAAATCAATGTCAATGCTAACAGGTAAGTGAACTATATTTGATATACATTTTCGATAGACAAAAAGCATAGTCTTTATAGATTTTTTTTTTAACAATTCGCATAAGATCAATCAAATTTTAGATGCGGTTATATCTTGCTATTATGCAGTGATTTTAATCAGTCAGTGATATTAATATTGACAATAGGACGACGGCAATCGGATTCTATTAGATTCCCTCTAAATTTCCCCATAATTCTGAGTATTCGGTTAGTCCAAACAAAATGTACTGCATATGCGATTCTAACCCACCAGAGCAAAACGAAAGTACAGCACATGCAGTAACCGTACGCGAACGTGTTAATTTTTCAAAAAAAAAAAAACAAGTTATCAGAATTGTTTGACAAAAATAACTTAATTTAGAATAACATGCAATTGACTCGAAAAGTCTGTGCGTGTAGATATGTAATCTCTTAACAAACGACATCCTTTTAAATCAATCACATCGAAACGCCATTGTTTCACGAGTGGTGTCCTGTTGAAAATAGACATCGTCTATATTGGGGGAGGAAAAATTTTTCATCAAAGTGACAATTTTCTTTTTCAAATCGCGTCGGGTAACAGAACAGATTTTTATGAATATCCCTGATCATAATTAGGATATAATTTGTGAATAGGTGTTCGAAGAATTGCTTCTAAACTGTCACCTGGTTGTCACTCATTTAGTTGTAAATAAATATTTCAAGGTCGAACCTAGATGATAGTTGAAAAGCTGCGTCGCTAGTGAGCGATGCATTTGCAGTACTGTCAAGTGCAAACAAATTGAATTATTTGAAATTTTAAACGTAACGGGCCGGTGGTTTCCCATGCCTGATCTAAATTCATAGCATCGACTACAGACCGAAAAGAAAAAAACAAATCAGCATAGTTAGATAACTTTACAGTCAATATACCGTTGCGGTCGAAGGCTATGTAAGAGAAACGGATTTGCCTTTTGTGTGAAAATATTTCATGGACTTCCATCCGCGTTGAATATAATCTAACATATAATCAGCGAAGAATCTTTTATATATAGTTATTCATATTCAATCCGTTCTAATTCATCTTCAAAGACATACTTATACCCTACATCACTATATGTATACCAAGTTTGTGCGGACATATCTAACAAGCGGTAAAGCTTAATATAGAAAAGCTTAAGACCCACTTTTAATTAGACCGATTGGTTCAGAGTCATAGAAATTTGTTTTTCTATTCGTCCGTCCGTTTTTTCTTTTTTTTTTTTTCGTATACAACTTGCAGATCGTAATTTTCGAGATATTTATGATGAAAATTGGTACACTTACGGGTTTTGACCGAAAGGCATTATCAAAAATGGTTTAAATTGGACACTTGTTCGACCATTTCTTATATAGCGGTTTATTTTGAAAAATTAGATGAATAATTATTGTAGGGTGATGTAGGGCATTTAATGGACGGCTCTGCCTGGCCCGAGATAGTTTTTACTTATTTTTATCTAAGAATTTGATTACATTTTTTGTTAGTTAGCGCAGCTTAGACAAATTTTTTTTTTTGTTTTGTGTAATTAATTTATTAGCAAGTTTTTCGAAGCAATTCTGCAAATTGTACATAATTTATATTTATTAGCATACTAGCAATACTAGAAGTAAGCTTTAGAGTAATTTTAAAACGTCAGAGTTTAATAAGATTGAAATTATATTTGATAAATGATCTTTGATTGTAAAATCAATTGTTTATATAATTATGCAAATTATCTCGAAAATTACATACTTAATTCGTGAAGTAAAATCAAGTAAATAAAATTGATTTCTTTTTTAGCACGGTACGGCTGGCTCTGCTTGCACATAATTTGCATATGATGCTAAATACTTGAAAAATTTCTACTCAACAAATAAATCTATTAACAAAAAGTTTGAATTGATTTTAAAATGCGGCATCGGTTTATTATGAATATAAGGCAGGGGAACATATTAACAGCACAGGTGTAGGAGGCCCTCTAATATACATATATATATTGTTAGATTAGAGGAAATAGAAATTCGATTAGTTTTTTCTATCCGTTTGAGGAAAAGATTGGACTAAGTACTATTTCCTACCATAGTCAGAGAGTCTCACCACCTTTAGTAGAAAACATATAATTTCCTAACTTGCTTCTAAAAATAAAGAATTCAAAATTATTTCGTTACTTGCTTCAAAAAATAAGAAATTCAAAATTTTTGAAAGCTTTTAGTTCGGAATATCAAGCTACGTCTTAACATTATCTTTAGTAAAATTTTCACGTTAAAATTGCAAGTCAATCGCATAAAGGATTCAGTTACCGTTACCAAAGATGAAGCATGTAAATAACATATGAATTGTAAAATTAGCTATGAAGTTCTGAAGAATTGTGAAAAAATGTGATCTGCGTATGCGGCCCGCAACAAGTTAGTGTAGTGACAGACATCAGGCAGACAAGTGGACGAACATGATTCCCCTACAATCCAAATATTTCACATTAATTTAGTGATTTTTATCGCGATATTTTAAAGATTGCAAATGTTTTCTTATTTTAACAACTTCTTCAAGAGAAGAAGGTCCAAAGGGCCCTACGGAATATAGGTCAAATAGGCCTAAAGCACAATAGTGTACCAAATTTTATTAAAATATCTTAAGAATTTCAACTTGCATGTTCAACATAAAAATATATGGACATAGTCAGATGGACAGACGGACAGACAAGCTTATTATCGAAATCATAATATGTAGCTATGATGCCGGCGTGGCATTGCCAAAAGACAATATTATAATTCTTTGTTATATAACACAGCAAATTTGTATGTGATAAGTGAGAAAGAGGAAATTTTTTCAATTTTCATACCGCTACGAACTTCTCTATGCACTTAATTTCTGGAAAGAAAGCTTGTGCTATCCTTAGATTCTTGCCAACAAAAAAAAATTCTAGTTACTTTAATACTGTAAAACAATGTAAAAATGCTTCATGGAGGTTTTATGGAATGTAGTAAGGATTGTCAAGTGTTCCCTCTACCAGTCTTCACTTCGGCTATTTTTCATTTGTTTTAATTCCTTTCTATTCACTACTCTTTTCTTGTTGCGGATCATAATAATAACATGAAATTCGTCGTTTCTTTTCAGATTTTCTTATACCTCAACGCGTTATATTGGCTATAATGGGCTTTTTAGCCATATTGAATGCTTATACAATGCGTATCAGTTTATCAATAGCCATAACGGAATTGGTTGTGAAGAAAAACCATACAGATATTGACGGTGAGGCAGCAGTTTGTCTTGCAGACGATATGGACCATGGAACGTCGGTAAAGCTTCTTCGCATTCGAAGTTTTTGGTTTGTCGAAAAAAAATTGTAATTCTTCTATTGTCACTTTAGACCGGCGGTACCTACGAGTGGTCAGAGGAATTACAAGGTTTTATACTATCTTCCTTCTATATCGGTTATATTGTCACGCATATACCGGGGGGCTTATTGGCCGAGAAGTTCGGTGGCAAATGGACTTTATCTTTGGGCATATTATCAACGGCCTTTTTTACATTGATTACCCCAGTGGCTATAAAAAGTGGAGGTGCTACGGCTTTGATAATCGTTCGCATATTAATGGGCTTGGGAGAAGGAACTACCTTTCCTGCGTTAAGCGTTTTATTGGCCCAATGGGTGCCACTTAACGAACGCGGCAAACTTGGTGCTTTAGTATTAGGCGGCGGCCAAGTGGGCACAATTTTGGGTAATCTCTTATCTGGCGTACTTTTAGATGCTTTCGATTGGCCCATAGTATTTTATATATTTGGCGGTTTGGGCGTGGTGTGGTTCATATTCTTTGTAAGTGACATTTAAATCTTTTACTTTTTAGAAAATTTAATATTTTTTCGAAACTTTCTAGTGTTTCTTATGCTTTAATGATCCCACTATTCATCCCTATATCAAACCAAGTGAACGCGAGTATTTGGCCAAAGAATTGGGTAGCTTGGGTCGTAAAGAAAACTTGGCGCCTACTCCCTGGAAAGCTATTTTAACTAGCGTACCTATGATTGCGTTGGTTTGTGCACAAATTGGCCATGACTGGGGCTTTTATATAATGGTAACAGATTTACCAAAATATATGTCAGATGTCATGCAGTTTTCTATAAAAGCAAATGGACTTTATTCATCACTGCCCTACATTATGATGTGGATTGTATCGATCGGTTCGGGCTTTGTCGGCGATTGGCTAATAACACGCAATATTTTAAATATAACTAATACTAGAAAGATGATGACCGGCATAGGTGAGCCCTTTTTCATTTTTGCTTACTTTTTATGTTCAAAATCCATTCAAAATTTTATTTAGCGGCCTTTGGACCGGCCATATTTATGGTGGCTGCCTCCTATGCCGGCTGTGATCGCCTGGCTGTGGTCGTACTCTTTACAATATGCATGGGTTTAATGGGCGCCTTTTACGCTGGCATGAAACTAAGTCCACTCGACATGAGTCCGAACTACGCAGGCACTCTAATGGCCATAACGAACGGTATTGGAGCCATTACTGGTGTAATAACACCGTACTTAGTGGGTGTAATGACACCAAATGTAAGTTAAAATTTATTCTACTGTGTTTTGAAAAAAAAAGAAAAGAAAAACATATTTTATTCTTGTTCAACTTGAAGGCAACCCTATTAGAATGGCGCACTGTGTTCTGGGTAGCTTTCGGAGTTCTCTGCGTAACTGCTTTCATTTATTGTATTTGGGCCTCCGGTGAAGTGCAAGAATTTAATGATCCTCCACCACGCAAAGATCATGATACAGAAGAACGTGGAAAGTCTTCTGATAAAGAAAAACAAAAGCACTAGCTAGACGCATACTGTCGGTTGCTAAGCTTTTAAAAAAATAACAGTATTGCATTTATGGTCTTCCCGCTAATTTAGTTCAATTATTTAGATCATTTATTATTTATTTCAATGAAAAGTTCACAGTAAGAATTTGTGATATCGTTACGTGATACATTTTATTAAGTTAGTTAGTTCAAGTACTTAAACTCTACAAATACGTATATTATAATAAATGTTAACGTTTTTAATAAAAGCTATTTATAGTTTATATTTATTTATACATAGATAAGAATCTATCGCATTCGGCTGTGTCCGAATTTTTTATATCCATCATCCATCGTATTCCTAAAAAGAGCTACGGACAGACAAATGGACAGGCCCATTTATGTGCATTCCGCACTGATCGAGAATGTATATATAGATCTCCCTCGCCTAATGCAATAGTTGCGAAGCGCGATTTCGATAAAAGTCGGCACAATATTTGCCGCTTGTAAGGGGTATAATCACTTTGACAAAACGTTTCCAACAGTCAGGAGGAGATTCTACAAAGTATATATATTCTTGATCACCATCACATTTTGAATAGATTTAAGCATGTCCGTCCGTTTGTCTATGTAATGTCTGTTGTAAACATTCACCTGGACTTCAATTCAAATTTCAAGTTTGCAGAGATATTGGAGATATTTGCACATAGACTGGTATCGGAAATCTTTCGCAAGAGACGTCTACAATACCCTGTTTCCAAATGAGAACAAAAGATGATTTTTACTCATTACTCACAGACTACACCAGATAAGACTATAAAGCTGCGCGCGTATTCTCTATAGAGAAGCCTCTAGTTCCGGCACAAAAATTAGTGTAACATAATTTCATTTTTCTATCAAAACATTTGTAACACGTGCAAACAAGCTATGTAAGGATAGTGCAAATTTTTTTTGGAATCCGTATCATTTTCTGTTCAGTTCACAAAGAAAAAATTTGCCAGCCTTGCATGAAAATTACTCTCATCCTCAATGAACTAGATAAAAGTCTAAATCTAAAGAAAAAAGCTTCTTGCAACTTTTCTATCCACTTCATTTACGTTAACACTAAAACTACCATATGGGTCAATATGACCTTGAAAAAAATGATTTTAAAGCAAGCAAAATTCCAAAATTAAAGACTTTTATTTATATAGAAAGAGCCTTACATAACTATGTCAGATTTTTGTCCACTCGGTCTAGTTTCCGAGACATCCACGACATAAACTCGTTTCTATCAAAATGGATCACTGCGACGTAAAAAATTTATGATGGGGATTGTCTTTCTCCCTGGGGTGTCCTGAATCAACTGAATGTGATTGCCAATGGTTGTGGGCAACCCGTCTGATTAAGGCTTCACGACAGGTGCGGACATTAAACCTCACATAGATATCCGTTATTACTATATACTGCTCCCTCAGGAATCGCTTCTAATATCCATTCGAAGGCGACCTTTTCAAACTTCTCTGAAGTTCATGTAAATAAAGCAGAGTTCTGCGTCAGTTTTTATTTCATTGCTGTACCCTACGCTGCCGTGGTATATGGTTTATATTTAGCCTGTACGTATACATGCAACTCCCACAAGGCCTTTTTATTACATATCTCATTTGCGGATCGTTTCAAAATGACTTTTACATCGATTTAAGCTTGTCCGTCGGTCCGTCAATCTGCCTGTCTTGTTTTCTTGTGCTTTAGATATACCTTCATAATGAATTATGATAATCCAATTTACCTCAATAAACTCGTTCTCTATGTCTGTCTATGCAAGGAAAAAATTTACTCATAGGAATTCGATTTTTCGAAATTTTTAAGCGCATTTCTGACACTAAGGCAAAAAAAATACGATTTATTCCTTTTTTTTTTGTTTTTTTTTTTTTGTTTTCTATTCGAAGCACTCTGTTAAGTTTAGCGTGTCATTTATTTCATAAGTTGTAATTTTGTAGCTTTGCTGAGTTAGGGAAAAGTATTTGTTAAGGAAGCGAATAAAAAAGAAAAAAAAAGAAAAATTAATTTCTTTTTTTACGAAAATTTTTAATAATGAATATTTAATGAAAATTTAACAGCGGACTTAAAAATAAAAACATTTCCAGAATCAGCTAAAGCAAATATCCCTCAAAATTTTGTAGTGTATAAGAATAATTTTAGATGAAAGAACCTCCAAATGGATATAGGATGTTGGATCTCAACTACAGTCAATTGTATGCTCTTAACTTCTTCTCAATTTCTTTCATTTTTTTCATTACTTTAAATTTCGTTAGACGTTACGTTACCGCAACGAGTAATAATTTGTATATTTGGCTTCCTGGCAATAGTCAATGCTTTCATAATGCGCCACAGCATGGATATTGTTTTACCAAAGATTTTGCCAGCGAAGGTTGCGAAGGTTGAAATCGAAGAGACACAGCCTGCCTATTTGAATTATTTTCGCAATTTATTAGGCGAAGATTGCATAAAACAAATTACAGCTTGGAAGTGTTTTTCGAAGGAGTCCAACTTTCAAGCGGAGGCAAAAAGAAAAAGTAATCTCGATGTAACGGGACAAGTGCGTACGGCAGTAATGATATCATTTTACATGGGTTATATAATAACTCATGTTCCTGGTGGTTTACTGGCCGAACGTTACGGAGGCAAATGGGTTCTAGCAATATCTGTGGCCGTAACCGCTTTCCTGACCATCCTTACGCCGTTGGCTATTCATTATTGCAATATTAAGGGTTTGATTAGTATAAGATTTTTGATGGGCCTAAGTGAGGGTCCATTATTTCCGGCTCTAAATGTTATGATGGTAGAGTGGGTACCGGCACGAGAGCGCGGTACTTTAGGCTCGTTTGTCTTAAGCGCTGGCCACATTGGCATATTGATGGCTAATCTTATGACAGCAATTCTAATGCCATATTGCGAATGGTCTTTGATTTTCTATTTCTTTGGTGTATGCGCTTTGCTGTGGTTCGTTTGTTTCGTAAGTAATTTTCGCTTCGGTATTTTCTTCTTTTTTTTTTTGTCCACTTTGGTGAACATTTATGCATTTTTTTACAGATAACACTCTGTTACAGCGATCCCGAGTCAAATCCATATATAAAAGAAACAGAAAGATCCTACCTAAGAAAATCAATTGGTAGCACTGCCATCAATAAATTAAAACAATTTGAAACAAATTTTGATTCGACCGGATTGAGTACGGCATTAATATCTACATCATCAAAAACAACAAGTGCATCAAGAGCTTTTTTATCACCAGTTCCATCTTTATTGCCATCATATGATTCCGGTGTTTCAAATGTAATAGCTGTGCCCACTTTCTCCCCGCCGTGGAGAGAAATTTTCACAAACGGTCCAATGTGGGCTTTAATTGCTGCCAATATACAACACGATTGGAGTCAAACATTTTGGGTAAGCGAAATTCGTCATTTAATAGACGGTGGCCTGGCTATCGATTTTCGCAACAATTTCTGCTCATGTCTGAAAACTTTGACACCTTTTGCGTTGAATTGGGTTATCTCGTGTATATCGGGTGTTATAGGTGATATGCTGGTCAATGAAAACATATTAGATACTACCGAAAGTCGTAAGCTTATGACTTTAATTGGTAAGGTGATCTTAAATAGATGATTATTCGTCATCATCAAGATAATTGTTTTGGTATTTTTAAGCTGCCTTTGGACCGAAAATTTGCTCAAATTTCTCATCGTGCCTAATGTGTAACGAACAGAGCGATTTTAGCAATATATTCAATTGTGCTATAAGTGCAGTGGGGGCTTATTATGCTGGTGTGCGATTAACTTCTTTGGATATGAGCCCCAGATACGCTGGCACTTTGATGGCCATCTCGAATAGTTTGGGTTCTATAAGCAATTTAATTGCACCATTTTTAGAAGAATTTATAACACAACCGGTAAATATAAGTAAGATCTAAAATGCAACCACATATCGTAAATAAGTTATATATAATCTTACAGGGCCCTATGCAGAATGTACGTTCTTTGGTATGGTTTTTGTGCACAATGTTCACATCCGGCGAGATACAATCTTTTAATGGTCCAGTCGTAATGATGAATACGAATATTACTTAAGCTAAATTTCTAAGTTCTCTCCTCTTTGAAGAAACCAAGTTTCCAGAAACAAAGATAGAAACAAATCCATTTGTAAATGTTTATGTTAAATAAAGAAAAAAAGTCGCCCAATAATTTAAAATAATTATCAAAAAAATATAAAAACAATAAAATAGCAAATAGGAGACCTTAATATCTTCTTATTCTGGGGTGCGATGATGATAGCAATAATTGCGTACGCTCGCTCGAGTAATTAAAAATGCTGGCAATTACCCGAAATTTTCAAAGTGGTTTTAATTTGTATTATATGGAATAAATTTTGAAGGGAGAATAATTCACAATTTCATCAAACATGATAGTATAATTTTTTCTAAATCTCTTTTCTAGGATCTTGACTATAATATTTTTGGACGCCAAACGTTCGACACGCCTAATGAATTGTATATTGATTACTTTAGTTGCTTTAGATATTCCGGAGCTGTGTTTGTAAGTGACGTATAAAACGCTCTACGTCGCTTAACACATGTATGCAGAACCCTGTTCTGTAAATTAGGCCACTCAGCAAATTGTCTACTCTTGCACGAACGTCTTTCCGATAGCCAGGATATATGGTTCCGTAATTTCTCCGCGGACAATTTCTTGTTTGGTAATTTTGCGTATATCGACCCCGAACACGTCTCTCTTGTGGTACTAAAGCCCCTCCCGTACCTTCCGTAAGCTTTATCAGTTTTGCATTTATGTTCGCAAGTCTATGTAAGAGTTGCCCCTTTTGCGATAATTCGGGATGTGACATTTGTCTTCGCTGTGATACGTTTTGAGGAATTGGAACTCGCTGGGTTGGTGAGAATGAACGCGCATTTCGTAACCGAGCTCCTTGTTGCGGACTTTGTCCAGTAACGTTAAGATTTTGTTGTGCTGGCATGCGAGAATAAGGGCAACCGCCTTGCGGCGACCATGTGCCGACACTTCCCGTAGTTGCTGTATATCTTTTCGGTCGCAAGCCTTGGGTATGCGGCCCAACCTGTTGCTCACATTGATATTGACATTTTAAACCACACGCGCCACAGCATTTTGGGGTTTCAGACGATTCGGGATGTGGCCTGATCGGGTGCTCACATTGATATTGACATTTTAACGCACAGGCGCCACCGCAGCCTAGATTTTCAGACGTTTCTGGATTTGTTATAATTCTTCGATGCGGAAAAACAGCATCCAATTTTCCAGCACGAGAAGCGACTACGTTGCCCGGCATACTTTCAATGCCACGATACGGAGATTCTGATGTTTTCGCTGAATCCTCTATTGAAATTTCCTGTCTCTGCGACGACGCCAGCTCGGAACGTGGGAGTGCAGTAAGTTGTTGTGCTTGCGGCGATAGGCGAAGTGATTTTTGTTTCTGTGAGAAATCGCAGTACTTCCCTTGAGGGGTACAGCATTGGCGACGTGCTCTTCTACTCTGATCGTCTCTTCGGGCAATAGGAAGGCATTTATCCCGACGTTCTTCCGTTGATTGAACCGTTTGATTATCTAAATAGTTATTAGGAAATTGCGCGCGCAAGTCGGCATCGCGTAGACGAAGCTTTTCCCCTTTTTCGTTGTATATAAATTGTTGTAAATTAGCGGGTACGGAAAGTATATGCGCATCGCTTTTAGAATCTTCCATAAAAGGTCTGCGATATAATTCTTTAATTTGCCCCGGAAACTCACCCATGGTGTCCCCTTAATATTGGCATAGATTGTAGACATTCAAAATATGACGTTTATAAATCATGTATTACCTTCCTGTACTGTTGTATCAGCACCAGCATCTTCGCAATCAAAATCGCAGCAAGTGTTAGATCTAGTACCTATCTTTGACATGGCCAATAAAGACGTCATTGCTCCGGCCAAAATTGCCCACAGCCATGCAGGCATTGTGTTAATGTATGATTTACCATAGAGAGGGTCTTTAAGCTTCTATTCTTTTTGTTGGTTTAATTAAGTTTTAATGAAGTTTTTTGAATATTTTTTAAGCCATTAATACAGAAGTTTGAAAATTTAATTTTTTTTTTTGGAAATTTTTCGATAAATTTAAGTAAATAATATTTGGAAATTTCAAAACCGAACTGAAAAAAAATTTTTACAAAAGTCAAACAATAATCAAAAATGAAATAATCAAAAAAAAAAATTAAGAAACGTAATAGCTTTGGATTAGCTTTCTTTTTGTACCCATCACCGAAGAGGAAGAGGAATATGTTCATTTCGTCGAAACGTTTGCAACGCCTTACGGAAAGCTTCAGAGTTTCCACAAATTATAAGCTTTAAATTCTGAATCAATTTAAACACGTCCGTCTGGCCGTTTGTTTAATATCTGTTATAACAATTCTCCTGACCGCGAAAATGAAACTATCGACACAAAATTTGACAGTAACTTTGGAAGTTCTTGCGTACAGTATGTTATTCCAAATGGACGCGCCTACAGAGCTACGTAAACTGAGACCACGTCTGTTTTTCAAAAGAAATAAAAAACTGGTTTTTTGATCATTACATAGAAACTGTAGCAAATAAATATAGGAAAATTTTATTCTATGGACGATGCTGCAGTGTCTGCACAAAAATGGAAAAAAGTGATCACGTCTATCCAATATATAACAGTGCAACAATATTTCATTTTTTCCAAATTTTAAAAACCCCATCAAGTATATAAAGTCTCGATCAGTTTCAAATTTCGAATGCAGCCAAGTATGTCCATATGTACATTCAACTGTCCGCCTGCCCAACCAAAGAAGATATCGCCCATAAACTTGAACACGATTTCGCAAATAACCCAAATAGGTCAAACAACATGCCAACAACTCCCGGACATTTATGCAACCAGAAGTGAGAACACCTTTGCTTTCTGAGTCTTTTGCTTGTTGCTCATAAAACAGACAACGGACCCCCCTATATGAATTTCCACAAAATTATACTACAAAGATAGAAAAAAACAGCCGCGCCCACCCAATGCTTTTTCCTTTTTTCCAAACTTGCATAGAATAACAGTAGCAAGAAATTCGATTGCAACCAAATATTATTTTTTTACTTACTGACATTTTTGTTTGTGTTTATGTATATTTTACACAAAAATAGTTTTCTTATTTTATAAGAAGAAATTATACAAAAAAGTTCTCTTGCCCTCTTAAGAAGTTAAACAAAATTTAAAGAAGTGCAACGCATATAATTTAAAAAAAAAGACAATCTTTCTACAAAAAATGTAAGTAAATTATTGTTTACTTATATTAGTAAGTACACTACAACACTAAGTAAATTGTTATTTACTTACATTACATGGTTGTAATGTTTATCTTTTGAAATGTACGGTTAGCTTAATGCAAAGACCTTGAAAGTTTGTTGAACATAGTGAACAGCTCCTCATGCACATGTAGGGGTTTGCACGCGATTTATTGATTATCTTCTGCTTGTTCGTCCGATTTTCACCTAATTTGTTCACCATAATGTATTTTTATATGTTGTCTTCACGATATTTTTTAATATTTTGTACTTACGCATTTTGACGCCTTATATGGCAATTTTTTCTTTCAAACTGCAAATCTACATCACATTACGAGATTATGAATGCGCCCTACATCTCAAATTCATTTGAAAAATAAACAAAATCCATGAACATATTAATACGAAAACTTGATGAAAGGAAAATAAAATGAAATAAGAAAAGAATTGGAAAACATGGGAAAGATCGCTTCACGCAAAATGATCAGATGCGATAACCCGAAAAACATATAAAGGCAACTCTTTTTACTCGGTAGATGCGTTCCTTAGAAAACTGTGAAAATATTTCGTGTAAAAAAATAAATGCGACATATGTTAAATTTGAAAATATATTCCATAACGTGCAAAAAAAGTTAAGACTGCAATTAATTGCAAAAAAGAAAAAAAAATCAAATTAGTGTAGTGACAACTCAGTTCAGAAGTAAAACATATAAAAATTTAAATTGAAATTAGATGTACAGACCAGCTTCGCATATATCCATTGCTACTTAACAAGAAACGAAACAAATGACCATAACTAGCGCAACTTTATTGAAATTTTTTATTGAATCCTACCAACTGAGCACAAAATACATACTGAAGGATAAAGAAAAAAATGGTCATAAAATTCAGGTACTATCCGCTGTAGACCAAGTCACTAAGAAAGTCAAAATTGAAATTTATAAAAGAAATGTTTTCAGGATTCGTGCAAAAAAAATTTTTTCATTTTTATTGGGGAATCGTGTTAAATCAAAATCGTGCAAAAAAGATCGCGTAAAAAAAGTCGCGTTTATGTACATACATACATTTACAATCAAGCTGCAAATAAGGAAGCCTCTTCACTTAAGGCAATCAACCATCTGTTGTTGATTTTCTGGATTCCAGAAAATGAAAAACGCTTTTCAAATAGTTTTTCGTTGCTTTTGAAAAGACTACAAAATTTTATAAATTGTTGTTTTTTTTTTTCTAGTATACACGTAATAGTAACAAGAACAAACTTTTTGCATTGGAAATGAAAGGAAAAGAGCAAACGGAATTGGGTATCAAATTATCAAAGTGTAACTATTATTTTCTTAATTTCTTTTAAACCTTCTTTAAATTTTACCCAATATTATTTTAGTATTCATAATACCTCAGCGTCACATCTTGGCAACGATGTGCTTTCTGGCCATTACAAATACTTACACAATGCGCATATCTCTGTCAATGGCATTAACCCAAATAGTTGTCTACCGCAACAGGTCTAAATCTATCAAAGATTTCGAGATATGTCCACAATCGCAACATAGCTCAATGGTAATGAGTAAGAATTAAAAGAACATTTCTTAACAACCATCACTTATATTAGGTTTAGCGAAAAATTCTGTATGTTTTTAAAGTAAAAGAAAGCTTTCCGCATAGAAAGCATTTTGCTCCAACATGATCTTGACAGTATCATCGAAAATCGAATCTACTTATTTGAAATACTTAGAACAATCTCCTGTATGATTTCGATGATTAATTTCGATACGCTTCCACAGCATTTCTTTCTTTTTGGAATTCATACCAAGTTCTGTGGTGTAAATGAACTTTACCAGTAGCCATGGATACAGGATTGACTCTCACTTTATCTTCGTTTTAGATCAGTACGTATAAATTGCATGACAAAAAGTGAGAGCTTATTGAAACTTGTGGTAACCGGAACGGAAATAGTTTTCCGGGAGACCTATTATTTTGTCGACCATAATAATGTCGAACGACTAGGGGACCGAATAAGATCAATTAGCGATTAGCCATTTTGCTCGCATTAAGCAGGAATGCATTTGTGAATCGCGGAGATTGGCTGTCGCCAGGTGTCAACCGCAATACATAACAATTAACGATTAGGCACACACACACTAGGCTGCCGGCGTCTCTCTATCTCTGTGTCTTTCTTCACATTGAGGAATTACACTAATGGGAAACGTTCCCTGAATGTTTGGTCATATTACAAAAAAGAAAGAAAACAACTTAAGACGATAATGGCTACCATATGTTAAGCTATGGAAGCTATTGTAAATTTGTTTCAAAAAGCTTCAAGAAGAAGAGAAGTTGAGTTGTCTTGAAACTTTTTGAATGTGCTCATGTGCTTAGGAAAACAAAAAGACGTTGACAGTTGAACATCAACATGAAAATGAAGGAACAAAGTTGAAGGAGGCCGTAGGAATATGTTTTAAGAAAGATGTGGCGAAATATTTTATGATTTACTTTTTAAAAAGGAAGTTATAATATTCGTCAAATGAATGCTGAAAATTGAATTAGACTCCAGAGCATATATTAATAGCTTTACTGAAGCCAAGGTAAGCCGTCTCAGTTTCAGGACAATACCAGAGCTTGTTTCAAAGAGTATAACATTATATAATGTCGTTTTGAGGATGTCAATATTCCTTCAATAAATGTACGTCTAACTTGGCTATGCCTCGCCACAATCGTGTCAAAGTGATGCGAATGAAAATATCCCGTTTTCTTTATTAATGATTCGCTGATCTGCGTACACGTGAAATTTGTTGTTGAGCAACATAATTAAATTCCGATCGAGTTTACTCGATGTTCGGAAACCATAAAGCGACCTCAGCGTTCAGTTTACGGTGATTAACGATAGTCAATGACGTTTGCTACAAAAACCTAAATGACATTATCAAATAATTTTTATACTCGTGACCGAAAGGTGAGTGGTATATTCATTTTCTCAAAATGTTTGCAACGCCCCGAAGGTAGCATCAGAGATCACACAAAGTATATATATATATATATTCTTGATCAGCACCAAATTGTAAATCGATATAAACATGTCCGTCTGACCGTCTGTGCGTCTGTTGAAGTTATTAACTTCAAATTTGGTAGAAACCCTGAAAGTTCTTGCACGCAGCTTAGTATTGAAAATGGGACAAATCGGTCGAAGGACACGCCCACAGCACCATATAAACTGAGAACATCTCGGTTTTTCAAAGGAAGTGAAAGAAAAACTGTTTTTTTGCTCATGTTGATTACTCATAAACTGTAGCCAATAAATGTGCAACAAAAATTGACCAGGTCTAGCCATTAGTATAGTGCATCAAAATTTAATTATATTTTCAATACCTTGATAACAAAACAAGCAACAAGCTCCAAAACTTCCGTAAAGTATACAAATTCTTGGCCAGTTACAACACTTGAATGCCTACCTAAATATGGTCTGTCCTTCGGCTGTCCATCTGTCTCTTTGCGTTTCTTTGCAATATTTCTGGGAAATATTGTCCCGTTAGGGAAAATAAGTGTATCGCCTACAAATTTGCAAAAGAATCTGCAATTGACATGAATTTTTCAAAGGACACGCCTACAACGCATGCCTAATGCCTCTACGACAAAATATTTTATTTTGAAAAAAAAAGTAATCATCCTCGACACTATGGAGCATGGGATTTTTGTTCTTTTACTTTTTTTGCCTTTTTTTGGGGTAAACGGTGACGGCTATAAAAGATTCGGTCCCAACCGAATTTAATTTTCTTACTTGTTTTTTTGTTTTTCCGTTTCTTTTTTGTCATATGTCAGCAAAAATTGAAAATCATCAAATGTAATTACGTTTGGAATAAATCAGAAGGAAAAGAGGCCAAAATTTAAAAATTGCCTCGAATAAAACCGGGCGGATATAAAAGCAATTGCAAACGGTTCATCGGCGGACGCGAGATCTCGAGGAATTTTCAATTCTGAATATATTTTTGATTTATTTTATATTTATTTTTTTTTTTTTTTAACGTGATCGGACGTAAGATTTCATTTAGAAGATGAAGCCCATCGAGCAAACACCGCGTGGTATTGCTTTTTCAAAGTGTAAGTATTAGTTACTCGTTCGCGTTCATTTCCATTGTGCTTCGGAACTGCGAATTAAATTTTTAAATATAGTTTTTATTATACCTCAACGTTCCATTGTGGCGATTATGGGGTTTTTCGCTATTGTGACGGGTTATTCGCAGCGCCAATGCCTCTCAATGGCTATAACTCAGATGGTAGTGTATAGAAATAAAACAAAAATGGGAGACACAATAATATGCCCGGTCGAAGATGCTGTTCGCACTCAGGTGATAGCTAACAAAATGATTTTGTATTTTTCAAAAATTTTATAGGAGAAACTTGTTTTTGCAGCAAGGTGGGGAATATGACTGGACCGAAGAAGAACAAGGTAGAACACTTAGTTTCTTCTTTTTCGGTTATCTTCTCGCACATATTCCCGGAGGAATGATGGGCGATCGGTTTGGTTTTAAGTGGGTTTTAAATGGTGGATTAATGTGGTCAGTGACAACGACATTTCTCGTCCCAGTCACTGTATACTATACGGAGCACATAGGTTTAACCATATTGCGTGTTACCCAGGGATTAGGACAAGGTGTAATATTCCCTAGTCTTAGCGTGATGGTTTCACATTGGGTGCCGAAACACGAGCGTGGTAGATTGGGTGCTGTCATATTGGGCGGCGGCCAAATAGGAAATGTGCTGCTATTTGCATTTGCAGGCCTTTTGCTTGACTCATTCGACTGGCAGTGGGTATTTTACACATTTGCTATTGTTGGGGCAACGTGGTGTCTAATATTTGTATGTGTTTACTGTAAACTAATTAAATAATATTCCAATCTATAGGTCACTTTGCAGGCTCTCATTTGCTACAGTGACCCTGTCACGCATCCGTTCATCAAACCAGCAGAACGTGAATATTTAGTTGAACAAATAGGTGCACATATTGAGCGCACAGATTTGCCGCCCGTACCTTGGGTTGCGATATTCACAAGTTCAAAAATATATTCATTGATTTCTGCCCAAATTGGTCACGATTGGGGCTTTTATATAATGTCAACATATCTGCCCAAATATTATAACGATGTGCTGAACATGGATATCAAATCCAATGGTTTCTATGCTACTTTTCCCTTCATTGCGATGTGGATCAGTTCGATCTCTCATGGTTTTGTTGCCGATATGTTAATTAAAAAAAACTATATGAACATTACGAATGTTAGAAAACTGATGACAACTCTCGGTAAATATTGAACATATATGCATATTTATGTATATACATATATAAGGTATTTATTTGTTTAACGCCACCATTTTCATTTTATAGCTGCGATCTTTCCAGCCATATTTTTAGTTTTGGCCTCATACGCAGACTGTGATAAGCCTCTCGTTATAATTTTTTTCACCTTAACTCTATTTACGATGGGTGGCTATTATGCGGGTATGAAGTTGACACCGGTAGATTTAAGTCCAAACTATGCCGGCACAATTATGGCCATCTCCAATGGTTCGGGTGCTATCATAGGGTGGCTTTCCCCCTATCTAGTTGGCGTACTGACACCGAACGTAAGTTTTGAAGCTCGCAATCAATAGAAGCTCGCCTGATAATACAGATTATTAAAATTTACTCAGACCACACTTGAAGAATGGCGGCGTGTATTTTGGTTAGCTTTTATTGTTTTAATTGCAACAGCTGTGCCTTATTGCATTTGGGAATCTGGTGAGGTACAAGAATGGAATGATCCAGATGTCTATAATCAGAACAAACGGGCCAGAAACGAACTTAAGCGTCAGGAAAAAGAAGCTAAAAAAGAGGCTAAGCGCTTAGAAAAGGAGGCTAAGCGCCTACAAAAGTAAGGCTAAAGAAAGAAGAAGAATTTTTTTTAAACGAGCCAAAATGAATATGTCTCGTTCAAGCTTCATCCTCTGTATGTGCTACTATTTCTATTCTATTTATGTATATATGTGTAAATGCATTTCTGGATATATTTCTATACATTTTTTTTAAAATTACAAATATACAACAAAAACAAAACGAATAAGAACTGTTAACAAATGCAGATCGGAACCATGCTTACCATCGTTATCATCATACTTAAGATAATCCCTGCTTTCCATTAACATTAAGCTTTCTATAGTTAAACCTTACCGCGCCTGTGACAGTTTGCCGCGATATATGTAACGCCCGCAAGGAGTTAAGATATTTCCACCTCATCTCATACCGATCGGCTCGAAATCGTCGTATGAATCGCTGTAATCCAGAAAATTATTCTGAATCGATCTAATCCTGCCCGTCTCTCAAAATATTGTATTATTCAGCATGCCGATCGCAAACTTTGCGATGCTATTCGGTACATTGGCATGTCTTGGCCTACGAACATATCATCTTGGAAATGGTTCATCTCAGGTCATATTTTCGGCGCAAAATCTTTTTTTGAAAGTTCGTTATATGAAAATAAATTAAAATATCCCGGAATTCGAGACAAAAATCGCTGCGCGTTCTAAACTCATGTGAATAATTTGGATCGGACGGGACAATTTTTTAAGCCTCTCACCAAACAACCATTCCTACCTTTATATGGAAAATATTTTAATAACGTGCAAGTTGATCCATAACAATAATATGACATCAAAACAAGTAAGACCATTATAGTCGGAAAAGGCCGACTAATAGATGCACCACTTCATGTTACTTTCCTCTCCTTCGGCTTACTCTCCCTGAATGCGAGCATATTGGAGAATGTCCAACAGATCACAAGGCCTGCTAACCAGTATAATAATAATATAATTATCTAACTTTATTAATTCCACTGAACCGATACCCGAAGCTTATAAATTTCTGATGCCTAGTCACAAGGCTCTAATTCTTACCAACTATTTCGATTACAAGACAAAAGGGCCAATACATTGCAATCTCTACGATGTATTCTGTAAAAATTCTCGCTCTATTAAACTGAATCGTTCCTAAATGTAGGAGAATTTCAGAAAAGATTTTATACTTTCAAGGATTTGACTGACAATTAAACACATTTATTCAAATAGGAGGAGGAAAGTATTTAAACAAACACATATTATTACTGTTGACGTTTTTGGTCGTCCGCTTTCGATGCAGAGCGACTCTCATTCGGATTTAATGTCATCGTCAAAGCGTAGCAGCTCTCGTCGATTTTATCAACGAATCCATGGCGTACGCTATGGCAGTCTTAATCGCGTTTAAAAGATAATTTGGAACGGCCGCATGGTTTAGACAAATACAAAACTGACGTATATTCATAAAGTTACTCCGTCCACACATCCCGGACGAAAAGCGTTGCATAACTACCCGTTTTTTTAAATCTTTCTACTAAAACGCCAGATTTTCTTTCGTTTGTCCTAAGCATTTCTTCCTTCGGTTCTTTCGGTGAAGAATTGAAGTATGGATTATGCTCCGCTTTCATTGGTCCCGCTTGGCATAGATTCCTAGATACTTTTTTTTCTTGGCTTTGTGCTTACGTAAAAAAAAAATAAAGGCCAACGAGCGTATTGCTTACGAAACTACTGTCCAGAAGTTATATCATGCCAGTTGCAAAATCGTTCCTTCTCAACGTTCCCACCCACTTGTTTTAGAATACCACTACGCGCTGATGGCACAAATCGCCAGCGAGGGTGTGTATACAAATCAAACGTATACAAACACTTTCTCCGAGCTTTCTCTACCTACGTCCTCCTCCTGACTACCTCCTACCATCTATTTTCTACATTTAATATTTAACATTTGTATATATATATATATATATATATATATATTTATATAAACGCTCTCATTACCACTCGGTCTTAAAACGATTATTAGCCCGAAGGGGCTATTAAAGACTTCTATAATTTACAGTTTGTGATTGCGTCGGTCTCAACCTCTCGATCATAGCACTCTATAACATAGTAATTATCTATGTCTATATATTGTCGTTGCTCACAAATTCTGCCGACAGAGTCTATATAGCCTCGTCGGCATGTCATTATTAAATATATTAATTATTGCATAATAAAATGTATATTGTCGTTAACGGTTATTATTATTAATTAATAAACTAAAGTAAATAATGAAAAACTGAAGCGTTTTAATGATTAGCGAAATTGAGTAACATTTCAAAGTCAAACTAGTGCCGGAAAGAAATGCGATTGTCAATTTATGCGCGGCAATGGGGCCGATCGGATCACTCCTAACCTGATTGGATGAATAAGCATTCTTTTTATATTTTATTTACATAATTTTTGAGAAGCGTAAAATTTCGTTACAAAATATATGATGAAATGAAATTCGTGCATTTTCGCCCTCAACAAGCCTTACATAAGCTGGTTGGGTTTTATGTCTGTCTATCTATCTCGTTTACCTCTCTATGTTAATTTACTTTGTATTAGGAGAGTTCGTCAATTGCGTGTGAATGTGAAGGGGAGATTTACAATAATTTATTGATTTTTTTCTTTTTTTAAACTGTTGTAAATAACAGAGGAAAAGCTAAAATATACAATATTTTGCTAAATATAAGTAAATTGTATAATCGAAAGGAAAAGGCAGAGAGCAGAAAAAACAAAAAGAATCGAAAAGATTTTTGTACCAAAGATATTATACTTGTTCGTGGAGAATGGTCGGAGAATGGATTTAAGTATATGTAACAGAAATATTTTAACAGATGATTAATTTTAAAAATTAATTTATAAAATGCACCTCGTGGAATTTTCTCCAACAATTTCATTTTAATAACAATTTTTTGCTGTTCGCTTGTCCTGAAAGCGATTAAAATGCTTGTGAATCGTTTTTTATTTGGTATCGGCTGCCATTGTTTGCGAGGCAATGCCTGCCTGCGCTAGAGCCGATATATTAGACATATCTATACCCAGTTTTCGAGTAACGTTGATTTGAGCAATCGCTGCATTGCGTAAAGCATATAAGTGGCACATTTCCGCCTGGCTTTTAGCCAATTTGATGGCCTTTTCGAATAGTTCTACCGCCCGATCTAGATTGGCTCTCTGGACTTCAACAGTACCCAATGTCTCGTAGGCTAGCTCGCATTTATCGTCGACATCAATTGCCTGCTGCATTAGATTGATAGCCTTATCAATGTCACCTTTCCATTGTAGCATCATAATACCACGATGCACTAATAACGAGGCATTTTCAGGCGCCATTTTTATTGCCTTCTCGTAAAATTGATCGGCCTGTTGGAATTGCTGTTGATCGCTAAGTACTTGAGCCATCAAACTGTAACACTCGACGCAGCCGGGAAATTTCTCAATAGCGTTACGAAACTCATTCATAATCATAAGCAAGCGCATCTGATCGCCCGAAAGTAAACCTAAACGATATTCAGCGTAACATTTCTGCACATATGCCATCGCGTTATTGGGTGCAATTTTGATGGCCTTTTCATACTCTTGCAGAGCTTCGTTTAACTGATCGAGCAGTATATATATCTGAGCGCGTTGATGATACAAATCGGGATTGTCGGGTTGTAACTTTTGCACTTGGTCAAAATCAGCTAATCCCTGATCTTTCTCTTCCAGTTGTATATGTAGAGAGGCACGTTTTATGAGAGCGTACGCTCGTAATTTGACATCGGCATCGGCTGCATTCGAAAGCAAGATTTTTATTACATATATAAAGGATCGATTAAAATTTAATCTCTCACCGTTATTGATGACTGCATCCAAGTCTTGTCTAGCTTCCGTAAATGAGCCAGATAACAAATGAAATGTACCGCGCAATAACAAAGCCTCGCTCTTATATTGTGATTCCGACTCGGAGGATTCAATTTCTTCGGTGCAAGCCGGAATGATTTCATCGTATCGCTGCTCATCCATCGCATGCTTTGCACGAGCGAAACCGTACAGCCTATCGTCCTTGGTGTTAAGTAAATCCGTAACTTCAGTAGCTGACAAATTTGCTTGCAATGGATCAGCAACAAACGAACGCAAATAAGTATTAATGAAATTTTTCGATGGCAGCATGGGCACTCGATCCTTCATTCCCTTCTCGGCATCTTCACGACCTGTTTGCTTCAATACACGATCGGCGTACATAATGGTATTGTTGTTCTGAAACATTTCTAAAATACAAGTGGCGGTCACATCATCCAAGCAATCGCTCATTTCATTTGTGGCTTCATAAGCTTTGGCTCGTCGAAAATAGGCTTTAGGATACCGTGGATTGCATTGTAACGACTTGGTACAATCCTCCTTAACTTTGTTCCATTTGCGTAGCATCTCATAGGAGGCGGCTCGATTTTGATAGAATATCGCTAAATCAGTTTTATGTTCACTGGGACATTTGTCGATTGCTTTGTCGTAGAAGATAATGGCTTCATCAAATTTTCCATTGCGATAACAGGCGTTACCCTCATTCTTGTATATGGTTGCTTCCTTAAGGGGTGACAATCTTTCATTTTCCAACTCTGCCAATTTCTTGCGCTTTTCTGTTTCTTTATCCTCCTCTGTAATGCCATCAATAGATAATGATTTTTTCTGCGTTTTCGATGCCTTTAGTTTACTAGTTTTACCTTTACCCGCTTTCTTATTTTCACTATCAACGTCTTTATCTGTTGTTTTGTTATCCAAATCTTTGGCAGTTAATTTATTATACAAATAGAAACCCAGGCCCAATGCCAAAGGAGTGCCCAAAACCAATGCCAATTGCCATTTTGTCAATTTTATTGATGTAAATTTATAAGCCATTATATACTTGCGACTATCTGTCTAACAATCAGCCTGAAGTGCAATAGACAGATCTTTGTTTCTATTGCAAGTTCTAACCTTAAAGTTACAAAAATTTTTTTTTAAATAACAATAAATTTTTACACTATTCATTGAAGTTCTTGTTTGTAATGAGGACAAGAAAAAAGCTTTTAGTATTTTATTTTATGAAAATCGATTTTCTTTTTTTTTTTTTTTGCTATTTCCCTTACTTTATCTTTTCAGTTCACCTGTACGTATTCAGCTTCTTCTCCTAATAGCTACGATGATTTTTTAAGCGGTAATTTTCTTCTTGAATTTTGTAGTGGGAAATTACAAAATTATTCCCGAAATAAGATAACTTATCGTTTTTTTCTTTTTATATTTTAATGCCAAAGATTTATTTTCTTAACTTTCATCGAAAAACAGAAAATGTTTCAAATTTCTAAGTAATATATTTTATATTTCATTTATTATGAAGGAATTTCTAAGTTACCATATCTTAACAATTTATTCTTCTTTCTATATTCCTAATAAATAAGGATAGGGATAATTATCATAAATTCATGACATTGCTACCAACATTTAAACCAAATTATTCCAAACATTTCCATCTTCAAAATAATTAACTAGCAGGCAAATTGACAGATATTTTTTATACGGGGAGAGAATTTATAATCGGCGAAAATCCATTGATTAAAGATAGTGACACATTATAAAAACATCACGAAAAAATTCTCTAAATAATAATGACTCCTAAATTGGATAACGTTATGATGAAACCCAAAGGACAAGCCTTTAAAGATAAATCCAAACCGGCAGATGTTCGTTTATCCAATATTCAAGCAGCCAAAGGTTAGCACAGGCAATAATACATAAATTTTATGAAAAGTGTTAAATGAAAACCTCTTCTGAAATAGAAAAGATTGCATTTTCCGTCAGAAAATTGCGATATTTTAAATCAATTGTGCGATTAATGTGGGAGTTAGTCTCGAACATTCTATATATGTAAAAAAAGGCGAAATGACTCATTCAAAAAAAAAAAAAAACGAAGAAATAATGTCTGCAAGTGTTAAACCGTGGAAACGACTAAGGAAGATTTTATTGAATCTCTTCAGGCAAATGTTCGGACTTTGTGATTTTGAGAGTGCAGCTTGAAATTGCAAAAATACAATTCTTTTTTCTCGAAAAGTTTGATGAGGCCCAGATGTATAGGTCGCCTAGGAAATTGTAAACTTAGCATTATATGAACAAATATATATGTTTCCTTATAATCTTAATATTAATGATTTTTCCTTTTTTTTCTATGTTAGCTGTTTCGGATGCGATTCGAACAAGTTTGGGTCCCCGTGGCATGGATAAAATGATCCAAGCCAGTAATGGCGAAGTTTCGATTACCAATGACGGCGCAACCATTTTAAAGCAAATGAATGTTATCCATCCTGCTGCCAAAATGTTAGTTGAATTATCGCGTGCCCAAGATGTAGAGGCCGGGGACGGCACAACTTCTGTTGTAGTCATAGCCGGTGCTCTGCTAGAAGCTAGTGAGAAACTTTTACAGAAAGGAATTCATCCTACAGCCATCTCCGATTCATTTCAGCGATGTGCTTTAAAGGCTATTGAGATATTGAATGAGATGTCGACGCCTATAGAACTGAGCGATCGTGAAACATTAATAAAAAGTGCCTCGACGTCACTTAATTCAAAAGTCGTCTCACAACAGAGCAGTTTATTGGCACCCATTGCTGTCGATGCGGTATTGAAAGTTACCGAACCAGGTAAAGAGAAAGCCGTGGACCTTAAAAATATCAAAGTCATTCAAAGTTTGGGAGGTACGGTAGAAGACACAGAACTAATAGATGGTTTAGTCTTTACTTCACGTTCAGCTGGCACAAATGCTCCAAAACGCATTGAGAAGGCTAAAATCGGTTTAATTCAATTTTGCATATCGGCACCGAAAACTGATGTAAGCTTTCTCCTATTGTCTAAATGTCTTTGAAATTTATATTTTTTCGTTTTCCTATATAAAAGATGGATCACACAGTCATTGTCTCGGATTACGCCGCTATGGATAGAGTGTTAAAAGAGGAGCGCGCTTACATACTGAATATAGTTAAACAAATTAAAAAGGCTGGCTGTAATGTGTTGTTAGTGCAGAAGTCCATTTTACGGTAATCTACTGGAACAGCTTATTCAATCTTTTAGGTCTTAATAGGTTCGTTTTTGTTTTCGTTCCAGTGACGCTGTTTCGGATTTGGCCCAACATTTTTTGGATAAAATAAAGTGCATGGTAGTCAAAGATGTGGAGCGCGATGATATTGAATTCGTTTGTAAGACTTTGAATTGTCGTCCAATTGCTTCATTGGATCATTTTGTCGCCGAAAATTTGGTTAATGCCGAGTTGGTGGAGGAATTCAGCACCGGGGCAAATAAATTTGTTAAAATCACTGGTATACAAAATCCTGGCCGCACTGTTTCAATTATCTGCCGGGGCTCGAATAAACTTGTCCTGGAAGAGGCAGCGCGTTCTTTGCATGACGCCTTGTGCGTGGTGCGTTGTTTGGTAAAGCAGAAGGCTCAGATTGTCGGCGGCGGAGCACCAGAAATTGAAATGGCTTTACAATTAGCTTCTTACGCCGTTGAAGGTGTAGATGCATACTGCTTCAGGGCTTTTGCCGACGCCCTTGAAGTTATACCGTGTACATTGGCCGAGAATGCTGGCCTTAATCCTATTTCCACTGTGACGGAATTGAGAAATCGCCATGCTCAAGGTGAGAAGTCCGCTGGCATTAATGTACGCAAAGGGGCTATTACCGACATATTTGCCGAGAATGTTGTTCAACCAGCTTTGGTTAGTACTTCGGCCATATCCTTGGCTACAGAAACTGTACGCTCGATTTTGAAAATCGACGACATCGTCAACACCGTTTCTTAGAGCGATAATGAAAAATTCATCAATTGAAAATTCATGTTACTTGTATTTCATTGAACTCTTATTTCATAAAAATTGTAATCGTTTGTGACGTCTGAGCCTAATGATCAATAATTCTCTAAATTTCACCCATCGCTGTCACCTTAACGAAAATTTAAAGGAACTAAATAAATGCATTTGCAATTTAAAACATTTTCTATCCTTGCTTTTAATTAAAAAAAGTAGAAAAAACTTATAGCTAAAACGCTACGACCGGACGCCGTAAGCATCAGGCATCCGCTCGATTGCGTATTTATGAGATGCAACATACATAATTGGCACACCCGGAATTTTACGTATGCGATTTTTCAAATCCTTATCATTTGTAGCTACGATGTAGCATTTATGCTGTCTAATTCTTTCCACTATGCAATCGTCCGCATATGTACCTTTGTGCAGGCAAGGCAAACGTTCGAAACGTGAATCCGATATAATTCGTAAAGCCAACTTATATTTATTGCCCAATTTCTCTAGTTCAGCTCGCACACAATCCGGTATATAAGGTATACATTTTGCGTATAAACAATCCATCATGCCCTGCATTATATCTAACTTGTTTTTGATGCTAAAATTAATGAAATTCGTATCCAGAATAATATGGTAAGGCGGACCAAGTTGGGTATTGTATTGAAAGAATAATGCTGAACTTTGTTGGGTGACTTGATTCACTTTGATCTGATAAGGATCTACTGGTTTGGGGCGTTTTCTACGCAACTCCTCTTTAAGGCGTGCATCCGTGGGCTTTAGTAAACGTTTTAACTGAGCATTCCTTTGTTTCTTAATTTTTTGAGTCTTCTTGTGCTTACCCTATAAAGGAGCGACTTGTCATTGGAAGTTTTTAAAATTTTTTCTTATGGTTTTAACAAATGTTCTTACCATTCTGTATCAATTGTAATATAGAAACCTAACAGTTCTTAGTAAATAAACTTCACGTGCGAGAGTGAAATTAATCAGCTGTTTAAGGAAAACATTAAAAAGTCCGAAAGAGACAAAACACTGTTTCTTTTAATACAATTCAATGAAATGTTAGAGTTGCCAGTGCTTATTAAAAATTAAAGGAACAATTGAGATAGAATTTTAAAATAGTTTATCGTTATTATTATAATTAACTCAGGCATAAAAAAAAAAGATTAGAGTCTTAGAGCAGTAGCATCTAGGGCGATTCCACGACATAACTAACTCGACTGAACGATTCGACTTTTACTTTGTTAGTCCAATAATATTGAATTATGAATTGATTTGCGTGATAAGGTGAGTTTCAAACATCGCTTACATAGAACGGACTGTTTCACTACGTTCCTCTGTCGTTCTCATCGTCAACGTTTAGTTTAATTGAACAAACGAAACAATGTGCAATAAATTTACTGGACAAGGATGAATCGAACTGTTTTATGATATGTGTGCACTTTTAATACAAGCGAAAATGTTATAAAATATTACAATAAGAGAAACTAGTTATAAAATATTTTAGATTATTTAATTATTTATAAATTTATACCTCTTTTCCCTGAATTTTTTTCCCACACGTTTATGTTAATTAAGAAATAAAAAGGAATTATACAGTTTCACTTTTCCGCAAAATTGTAAAAAGGGGTTACAATCTGTTCAACTGTTTATCTCATAAATTATTTTAAATGCTTTTAATTTGACACTAATCAACACTCTTTACTTATATTACAAACAAAACAGGAAAAACTTTTTCAGATTTTCACATCTTTTTGCCTTTTGCTTGGACATTGGGCAAACAAACTTGTACATATATTTGACCCTTCTCGTTATATGTATTTTTACTTTTGTTTTTTATTCATTTATTTTACTTTTCTTAATGCAAGGGGGTAGGGGGTGTGAAAATTTTTATGTGCATGTGTAAAGCAAAAAAAAAAGGAAAAAGGGTTTATTTAAGTTTTAGGACGAACATAAGGAAAAAAGAGGAGGAGCAATATTTGTCTCAATCTCCATATGTTTTGCTTGACTACTCAAAGCATTACACTGTCATCATGTAATAATCATGTTTTTGGGGCGGTTGACTTGTATTTGGAGCTTGGGTCCATCTTCAATAGCTAGATTAGAGTAATGATTGTCTTGTTATGGTATATTTTGAAATTTAAAGCACTGATGAGACATTTTTTATTGTGCGTGTAATGTGCGTGTAAAAACATAGCATACGTAAACTTGTGCATAGGTAAGGTTTTGTTAAATGCCATCATATTGCGTCTACATCAAGATATTTGTTTTCAGTAAATAAAAATTATTCAAGATGAAAAAAGTAGATTTAAAGATTCGTTGGAAAATTGAAATTTTGGATATTTAACAAGATATTAAACTTAATGGAAATGCGAAATTTGAAGTCATTAAGAAAATGTTAAATTACTTACCTAATCAATACTGTCGGGGTAAGAGTAAGTATTATTCTCCTTTCTTTAAATTTCTATTAAAATGTTTTTAAAGATATTTTAATTTTTACAATACAAAAACAAGATTCGTTTTAATGAGCGTTAAGTTCAACTTATTTCTTTCTTGAGTTGTTAAGGGCATTAATTAAGAGAATTTTTTATTAGAAATCCATCACCATTCTTAATTTTATATTTATTTATCCAATTTACATATATATAAACCGCACATTTTACATATATATGAACCGTATATTTTTATCGCACTAAGCCGTTTCATTCGCAATATAAATAAATAAACACTGATTGTAAATCACAAAATGGAAATTAATGATCAATTTCTTTACGCAATTTAGCAAAGACCTATGAGATTCGTTTATCATTTGTTTAATTGTCGTTTCGTTTCGTAGAAACTCTCATTTGTACTTATTAAAGCCCGTGTAAGGTGGATCATGACTCTAGCATGAAGTTAACTTTTGCCGTAAAACTACTTCAAGTCTGATGAGCTCTAAATGAACTAATTGCAAACATTACTAAGAATTAACGCTCTTGCACAGTTCCGACCAAGCAAACAAGGAAATAACTACTACTAACTACTCATAACTGATTCCGTATAGTCTAGTACTTGCGAAGATAATAATTGGTTTAAAATTTTTAAACATCTTATACGTTAAATAAAGCAAGTAGCAACTAGATTGAAGTTTCAGGACAATACTTTGTATGTCAAAAGCGTCTAATTTTAGGATAATGTTTTTAACAAGAATTCTTGGCAATTAATTGCTTTGCTTTGATGGAGCACCAAGCTTAATAAGCATATAAATAAAATTTTAAGCCGATGTCTCAGTTTTCATTCCTTTGGAATACTGGGATAATGGAATAAAAATGGACCATCATTTTATGATTACATCGAAATGTATCAGAAGTACACTTTAAAAAAAATACAGCCTTGTAAAATAATAAATTAATGGTAGGAGGTAGATCTTTTTCAAAAACATAAACGATATCTTCGAAATTTTTCAAATGATGAAGATAAAGATAATATTATTGGTGCTTTTCAGAGGTATTAGACATTAGAGATTACTTGAATTGATTATATTCAAGATGGTAAAATAAGACATTAGCCTTGCTTTCTAGAGACGCTAGATATTAAAGACTTCTTCAACTGATTATGGCCAGGATGATAAAATAAGAAAAAGTTACTTGTACTTTTAAGGTCTCGTAGACATTATATCCTTTTTCACAAGAATAAGGCGCCAATTTCACAAGTTAGAAGCGTTTACACAAATTTTCAACTACTTTCGCCGGTCACCACGTTTAGTCCCATGAAAATTATGTCAGTCTACAAATTTCAAACCGCGTTTTCATCAAATAAACAAGTTATACCGATAGGCAATGAATATAATTATGTACTTTTAATACGCTAAACGTCACAATTTTGTCAATTGAACATTTTTTCGTTTTTACAATGAATAGCTACACATTTTGTGTAAACTTTCCACTTAGTTGTCTTTTTTTTAAAACGACAAGATCAATCTTGCAACATTTGCAAAACTAACGGAAGTTTTTTGTTGTAACCAATGACTACGATTTCATGCAAAGCATACCAAAAATAATATTACTTGTATATAAAGATAATTTTTTTATTACAACCTTTCCAATTTTATGTAAAATTTTTTAATAATCTTTCGACACTAGTTTAAATTACGCGCATACTTTTCTGCTTAATAATTACGACTTATTAATACAGCTCACGAACACATTTACAAAAAAAAGGGGGGAAAGTAAAGTAGTGTTGCCAAAACTTCATAAAGAAGCTTTTAATAGGAATAATAATAAGTGAATTTATTTAGCAGTAAAAAAATTAAAAAATTTGCAAAGACAGAATTTTAAAAGTACCTTTAATTTAGTAATTTAGTAACTGTACTTTTAAATTGCTATTTTACTTATAAAATTGTAAAGACAGATAGCCGATAGCCTTGGATACTAGTCCTTTAGTATTAGAATTTAGTTCTCCGGCTAAATTATTACTTGATGGATATTATCAGAAATCTTAACCGTCATGATGAAGAACATTTTTAGCCATTGTTGATGCAAATGTCTAGGCATTGGTGACTGAGAGACAAACAGGCCATTTTGTGAACTTTGAATTCTTTAACATAGCTTATCATTCGTTCAGGTAATTTATTAAGAGAGGGAGTCAAATTTGTACAAGTAAATAATATTATTGGATATGGTGGATTTCGCTATATATTCTACTATACCCGCATAGCCAACAAAAAAGAGGTTTGTGATGCGTAAAACGATTTTTTTTTTTTAAAGGGAGGTATTTTAAATTCTTTCATATTTAGAAGTTTGCAAAAAAAAGATAGGGGATAAAGAAAAAGGGTAGTTTATGGATTTTTTTTTAAATTTGATGATTTTAAAAACTTGTTCAAGCTTTAAATGGATTTAACCATAAATTGATTAGAGAGGTCATATGTTTAAGCAGACAAACATAAAGTCTTTGACCTTTTCCTTTCTACCATTGTGAACGTATTAAGCAAATATTTGAATACAAGTTTTAACAGAGTAGTCTTTAGTTTTAGACATAAGCACATGTAGTGTTTACTTTGATGTCTTTAGTTCCATTTTGTGATTTGCTTTACGTGCTTTCTGGCAGAGTGAATGTTGTTTGTTCATTTGATAATGTGTTCTTTATTTGCGTTTAGTGAACAAGACGTTTTTAAATTTTGAAAACCAAAAATTCCATTTTTGGCACAGCTTTCGACTTTAGTACATATTCGTTTGTCAATTTAGTTGAAACATTTATTTATATTTACATTCTTTGTTTTTAACTATTTAATTATGATGGATATAGTTTTTGGTTATTGTTATTTTTTTAAAAATTTGAATTACTTTAATGAATTTTCAAATTAATTTTATTTTTTACATTCTCTAACTTTTTTAAGAAATTGAAATGTTTCAAATCGTGACAAACTAAACAGTTCCGCCGTTAATTTTTTTTGTGAAAGTGGCATCTCTGCCTCCAGCGTACATAGTAGATCGTCCGCCAACAAAATTTTTAATTCTTTTCGTTTGATAGTAGAAAAGTTTATATAAGTTTTATATAGATGAAATTCGATTTTAATAATATGCAACGGAAGTGGCGCCGGTTATTTTTAACAAGCAATAAATATATTGAAAATTGTAGGAAGGTTTGCAAAATGAAATCGCGGTTTATCTAATACGTACATCGGTAGTGCGGTAAAAACAAATAATTAAATACTTTTGTGATGAATACAAAATGGTCTGATTTCGAATATTGCAGAGCGAATAATTCCCTTTTGATACCAAGTAAGTGACATTACTATTACCTTTATAATTTAAATTAAATTCCAGTTTCCTTTAATATTAGTACGTTAGTCAACAATTTTTCATGGCTAACTAAGAAATTCTAATAAGCATTTTTTTTGCAAAATCACATTTCATTCCTCAACATAGTCTTGAATAGTCTCTACGAAGAGTGATATTCTTTAAAATTTCGATGCG